CCCCACGATCCCTGTCTATCCAAGCCATGCTCTGGGATGAGCAAATCACTCTCCCTCCCATCTACCCCCAGAGTTTTTCAAACTGATGGTTCTATGCTATATCTGCATGGGCTGTTTGTCCTGCTGTCACTTTAAGGGTGGGGACTCCACTTCCAAACACCCTTGGAGCTCCCCCAGAGCCGAGCCTCCCAATTTTGAAAATTCCAGGCATTCTCACTGGTGTAGAACTCATGAAGTTTGGCCCCTCTCGCTTTCAAAGGCAAATGTTATGGGGATTCATCCTTCCCATTTGTGGGCTCCCCAGTGTGAAAGTCTGTTTTCACCCTTCTCCGCACCACTGGCTCTCTCCCCAACATGGACAGCCATGGTCTGTTGCACTCCCAGACCCTGTCTTTGCCCTTCCTACCTTCTTTGATGTGGCCTCTTATCTACCTTTAGTTCGTGGAGGCTGTTCTGCCAGTGTTCAGATCATTTCATGGGTTATTTATGCTGCTATATCTAGTTATAGCCATGGAACAAGGCAAGCTTACTCCCCCTACTCTACCACCATCTTCCTAGTCAATCCTCTAATTTTTGACATTTTAATTATTATGCTTCTCGGTGTGGACCTCTTTGGGTTCATCTTATTTGGAGTTCTCTGTATTTCCTGGACCTGGATGTGTTTCCTGCCCCAGGTTAGGGAATTTTTCAGCTTATTTCTTCAAGTAAGCTCTCCACCCCTTTCTCCTTCTCTCTTCTTCTTCTGAACCCCTATAATGTAATTATTAGTATGCTTAATGTTGTCCTAGAGGTCCCTTATCTCACTTTTTTATAGCCTTTTTTCTTTTTGCCATTCAGCTTGGATGATTTCCACTACCCTGTCTTCATAATTGCTGAGCTGTTCTGCATCCTCTGATTTATGGTTGACTCCTCTAGTGTTTCTCCTCCTAAGTTAAGGAATCATCTTTATGATCATTACTTTGAATTGTATCAGGTAGACTGTCTATCTCTGTTTTGTTTAGATCTTTTTCTGAGGTTTTTGTCTTGCTCTTTCATTTGAAACAGACTCCTCTGCCTCCTCATTTTGTCTGACTTTCTGTGTTTCTACGTATTAGGTAAGTTAGTACATCCCCTGGTCTTGAAAGTAGTGGCTTTATGTAGAAAACATCCGGTGGGGTCCAGAATCACAATGCACCCTGGTCACCAGAACCCAACCCTCAAGGTGTCCCCTTGTGGGCTACATACACATTCCTATTGTGACTGGGCTGCAACTGCTATGCCAAGTGGTGGGCTGAGGTGACTGCTGGACCAGCTGCCTCCAATGCCCAGCCACGACTACTATGGGTGCACTGGTGGGAGGGTCTGGCCCTGGCACAACTGGATGAGAGGACCAGCTGCAACTGCTGCAGCTGGGCTGGTTGGTGGGGGTCAATCACCAGTGTGAAATGGCTGTTGATGCCTATCTTTGACTGTTGCAGGCATGGTGGATGGTGGGAAGTACTTTAGAAATGTGCCTGCCAGGGCAAGTACTTTGGGAAGGCATGTCCACAGGGGAATGCTGGTACAGGGAAAGCAGTGCCATCAAGACAGATGGAGAGTGTCAACTGGCATGGCAGCATCATGCCAGCTAGGCTGAAGGAGAGCAAGAAAAATTGCACCTGCCAGCACTCTGTTCCTAGAGAAAGTTCCTACAGATCCCTACCCTCCAGCACATGCCCTAAAATTAGTCAATAAATCTCCTTCACTTACGGCCCAGGTGCTTTTCAAACAGCTGCCCTGTGCTGTCTGAGTGAGAGTGTGCATGAGCCCTTTAAGAGGAGAGTCTCCATTTCCCTCTAGCCCTCCCAGAGTTATGGCCTGCTATTTTTCAAATCCAGACATTATGTGGGCTTCTCTTCCCAGTGCAGATTTTTGGGGTGGGGGTGAAAAATGTAGGGTTTGAACTCCTCACTCCTCAGGCAGGTCTCTTCACCTGTGATGTCCTTCCTGATTCTCGATTACCACACCACGTGTTAGGTTCCTAACCAGACCATGTCTCTTCCCCTCCTACCCTTCTTGATGTGGCTTTTTCCTCGTATCTTTAGCTGTGGAACAGCTGTTCTCCTAGTCTTCAGGTCATCAGCACAAAGAGTTGCTCTATATGTAGTTGCATAGATTTGCTGTATCCATGGGAGGAGGTGAGCTCAGGATCTTTCTAATTTGCCTTCTTCTTTGACTCTATACAGTTGCTTTAAAATCTGCTAAGGCAAGCCACTACCCATGTTGCTGTTTTACTTGTTTTAAATTATTACATTCATTGCAAGTATTATTTCAAACTTTCCTACCGCTTTCTCAACTTACACACACTATACTTGAATTTTCATTGGTATTTTTACATGAAGCGACTTGGAGTATCTTATAATTTTTAATATATTTGTTAGGAAGAATAAAAGTCCTTTATTTCTGGGGTGCCTGGGTAGCTCAGTTGGTTAAGCATCTTACTCTTGATTTCAGCTCAGGGTTGTGAGACCAAGCCTTGCATCGGGCTCTGTGCTAGGTGTGGAGCCTGCTTGAGATTCTCTCTCTCCCTCTGCCCCTCCCCCACTCTAAAAGAAAAAGTCCTTTATTTCTGCCATTTAATGTCAGCAATAATCTTTTTTAAAATTTTTTTATTTATTCATTTGAGAGAGAGAGATCGAGAGACAGACAACATGAGCAGGGTCACGGGGAGGGGCAGAGTGAGAAGCAGGCTCCCTGCTGAGCAGGGAGCCCGATGTGGGGCTCAATCCCAGGATTCTGGGATCGTGACCTGAGCCGAAGGCAGATGTTTAACCAACTGAGCCACCCAGGCACCCAGCAATAATCTTTATTACCCTGTCCACTCATCTATTACTTACTCATATCCTTTTTTAAAGATTTTTAGAGAGACTATGCGTGGGCATGCAAGTGGGCATGCAAGTGGGGGGAGGGGCAGAGGGAGAGGGAGACTCTCAAGCAGACTCCCCCCGAGCCCGGAGCCCGATTCAGGGCTTGATCCCACAACCCTGGGATCATAACCTGAGCGAAAACCAAGAGGCAGACGCTCAACGGACTGAGCCACCCAGGTGCCCCACCCATATCTTTATTTATACCCTATTATATTTCACAAAGGATGAAGTTTACAAACACCAAATTAGATTTACATCCAAATTTTATACTTTTTGGTTTTTTATATTAGCAAGATTTCTTTTTTATATGTTATTGTTGTTTGTTAGTGATATTCATAGTAGTCATACTGTACAGCCAGATAGTCACAGATGGTAATGATAGTACTGAAAGTCAACAGACTTTGTGAATTTCCTCTGAAGCTCATTTTCTGAAACACAAATTCTATCAGACTGCTATAACAACTACCAGAGACTGTGTAGTTTATACACAACAGGAATTTTACTGCTCACAGTTCTGGAGGTGGAGAAGTCGAAGACAAAGTTGCCAGTATAGTCGCCAGTATGGTGAAGGTTCACAACCTGAACCTTCATTCCGTGTCCTCACAAGGTGTAAGGGCTAGAGATCTCAGTGGAGATTCTTTTATAAGGGCACTAATTCCATTTATGAGGGCTCCACACTCACTAAGCACCTCCTAAAGGCCCCAACTACTAATACCATCATCTCTAGGGGTTAGCATTTTACCACATGAATCTTGTGGGGTCACAAATATTCAGAACACAGCACATTATATTCAATAAATTTCTTAGCTAGTTTCATTGAATGTCCTCAATTTATACAGAGTATCCACAAATGAATAGTTTCCTTTCCAATATTCATCTTTCTTTTTTTTTAATGGCTCACTGAAAATGGTCAGCATGTCCAATACTATACTGCACAGAATGGTGAGAGAGAGCACCTAATTCTATCTTTTGTTTTATTTCTCTATTGCATTAGTTTTATCAGTAATGCATATTATATTTTATCAAATGATGTTATAATGCATGTTGATATGTGGTGAACTTTATTTTGGACTAATACACCCTTCTCATAAATGATGTTTCAAACAGTTATAACTCAATCTGTTTAACTATGAGAACCATAAATATAAGGAAAAAACTAAGAAGCAAGTTATAGTTTCATTTTTTGTTATTGTTGTTGTAGAATTCCATAATCAGGTGTAACTAAACAGTACACACTTCAGAGAAAGTGGTAAAATTAAATTATTGCCATTTCCCACTAAAAAAAATTCAACCACACTGAGTTACATAATTTAACAAACAGGAAAGATAAAAAGATGGCATATTTAATGTTTCACTATTTTGGTATGACTTTAACAAAAATTCTATTTAGTAATTCAAAAACATAACTCGTTGTAGCTGTCTATCAAAACTGTATTAAAAACAGTCAACTTTATTGTTGACACAAACATTATTTTTAATTCATTCATTTCCTTATTCACTATTATAAACATTAAACACTATGCTAGTTGCAGGGGGATACAACAGTAAACAAGGCAATATTGTTCTTCAATCAACTTACAAACTAGTGTAGGGACTGATAAAATTTTCTGTAAAGGGCCACATCATAATATAGGCTTCTAGGAGGCCATACAGTCTCTGTTGCCAACTACTCAGCTCTGTCGTAAGGCAAAAACAGTTATTAGACAACAGGTAAAATATGAGCATGCATGTGTTTAAATAAAACTTTATTTACAAAACAGGTGGTGGGCCAGATCTGGACAATGGGCTACAGGTTGCCAACACCTGCTCCAGTAAAAATTAACGAATTAGGAATTTCAACACTATATGGTAAATGCAATGACAGTGGGAAGCACAGGTTATTGTGCGAACATGATCTAAGGAATCAATAAAGTCTTCTGGGAGGAGACAACAATCCAACGGACTACTCCACTTTCTCACATTCAGCAAATAAAAGTAGTTTATTGTAATGTGTCACCATTATAAAATCTCATTCTAAAAATGGAAAACATATTTGACTATGCAAGAATTACTTCACAATATAGTATTCTCTTCTGTTTATGAAAAAATATGCCATAAGCACAAGTAAAAGCTTACCTTGAGTGACTGTTTTGAGAACAATTAAAGTTGATAAAAATCTCAATGGTAAATTGGAGCTCTTAAAGAAAGCAGCTGTCTTTGGTTTATTCTCCACTGAATGTTCTAAAGAATTATCTTGAATTCCCTTCGTTACTACTCCTTTGAATATGTCTTCACCCAATCTCCTCAATGTTGATGTCATGGTTGAATGCTGTTAAAAATATGTACCACCTTATTATATTTATTTATGTCCATGATATATTTCAAATACTACAATCAAATACAGAAACTAAAAATAAGTCAATTTTTTTCTAATTAAAAAATGGGTTAGAAATATGCAAAATTAAAAAGAAGTAATTTTATAATCAATTTTTTAAAATTATTTATGACTTTTTCTAAAAGAAATGAGCAGTCTACTAAGAAAAAATTAGGAGAATTGAGACAAGATTCAATTTGAAAATGTTTAAGAACATCAGATCATGATATGTTTCTGGCAGAGAAATCAAAGGAACAGAAAAGTAGACACTATAGGTTCTTCACTCCTCCACCATTACTGACAAATGGTTTCTTGGGTGTATCTTACAGTGTTAGCTTATAAAGTGATTATCTAGGGTCTCACTGCTTTACAGCTTACTATGATCATAACCATCACAGTGATTTTAATAACTAACTTTTAACACCTGCTGAAGAATAAAATACTGGGTTAGATTCATGGATAATTCTGGAGCGCCTGGGTGGCTCAGCTGGTTAAGCATCTGCCTTCTGCTCAGGTCATGATTCCGGGGTCCTGGGATCGAGCCCCACATTGGGCTCCCTGCTCCTCCCTCTCCCTCTTCCCTTCTCCCTGCTTGTGCTCTCTCTCTCTCAAATAAATAAAATCTTAAAAAAAAATTTAGAATCATGGATAATTCTCATGGTGAATAAACTAAAACAAGACAATGGGCAAAACAGAAATACTGACATGTAAATACTTCTAAAATAATATAAGCTTTTATGATATTCCACATATATTTTAAGAACCAAATAAAGGAAAACCATTTTACACTGCTACAGATGAGAATGCATGAGCCAGACTTAGAAGTAACTTAAATATGGGTAACAAGTATTTGCTTTAGAATTTCAGCATATTAAAATTAGAGAGATAGGGGTGCCTGGGTGGCTCAGTCAGTTAAGTGTCCAACTCTTGATCTCAGCTCAGGTCATGATCTCAGGGTTGTGAGATCAAGCCCTGTGTTGGGCTCCACGCTGGGTGTTGAACCTGCTTGAGATTCTCTCTCACCCTCTGCACCTCCCCACTCTCTAAAAAAATAATAATTAAAAAAATAAAATAAAATTAGAGAGATATATTGAGATTTTATGGGGATCAAAAGGCACAATGATTGGGTGGTAAGTGGCATAACAAATGCAATCTAATTTAAATATACGGTCTATAAACCTTAAATCTGAAAAAGGAAGCCTCATACACTATTGGTAGGAATGTAAACTGGTATAGCCATTGTGGAAAACAGTATGGAGGTTTCTCAAAAAATTAAAAAAGATACAATATGATCCAGTAATTCCACTATTAGTTATTTACTCAAAGAAAACAAAAACATTAATTTAAAAAGATATATACACTCCTATGTTTATGCAGCATTATTTACAATAGCCATGATATGGAAGCAACCTAAGTGTTCATCAACAGGTGACTGGATAAGGTGTGTGGGTTGTGTGTGTGTGTATGTACACACACACATACATACACAGTGGAATATTATGCAGCCAAAAAAACAGATGAGATTTTGCCATTTGTGACAACATGGATGGACCTATAGGGTATTATGTTAAGTGAAATAAGTCAGACTGAGAAAGACAAATACCATATGATTTCATTCATATATGGAATCTAAAAAAAAAAAATGAATAAACAAACAAAAAGTGGAATCAATCTTTAAATACAAAGAACAAACTGATGGTTGCCAGAGGGAAGGGGGGTGAGAAGAAGGGCAAGATGGGTGAAGGGGAGAGGGAGATACAAGCTTCCAGTCATGGAAGGAATAAGTCACAGGAATAAAGGCACAGCACAGGGAATATAGTCAATGATATTATAATAGTGCTATATGGAGACATTTGGTACCTACACTTGTAATGAGCAAAGCCTAAGTATAGAAAAGTTGAATCAGTATGTTGTATACTTGAAACTAATTTAACACTGTGTGTCAACTATACTCAAATAAAAAAAAATTTAAATAAGTTTTTAATATCATTAGGAAAAGATAATACGTATGTTTTTTAAAACCCTGGTATAAAAATAGGAGAAAATATTAGAAATTCTAGAAGTTTCCTGATGCCTCATATTTCTCAGGCTTGAAGCTGAAAAGGCTGGCAACCTGGAAACTACAGACAAAAAAAAGCCCCAACATAAGTCTGCTCTCTCTAGCCAAAAGTCTAAGAAAAGAGCAGCCTTGCAAAACAAAAAACTTCCATTTTTTAATTTTAGTTTTAGATGGGGGAGGGGCAGAGGGAAAAAGAGAATCTTAAGCTGGCTTCATGCCTAGTGCAGAGCCTGATGTGGGGCTCGATCTCACAATGCTGAAATCATGACCTGAGCCGAAGTCAAGAGTCAGATACTTAACCAACTGGGCCACCAAGGTGCCCCAAGACAAAAAACTTTTAGACAAAACCACAATCCAAAAAAACACCATAGAAAGATCTGTGGTCCAACATCCACCTAGATGAGCAAAATTCCAAGGACAGCCTACACTTCTACCCTCAACCAGGCAGTAACAAGGTGTTCATGAATGCAATGTGAGGGGTAGTAATGAGGCACTCCCATCCCTCCCAGTTAGGGAGATATCAGTGGAGGCCTAGTGGGAACCAGAACTCCCTCCCTGCCGCCCCCAGATAGCAATAGAAGCCTGGTGGGGAACCTGGACTTCTACTTAACTAGGCAATAAAGAGAGTCATCCTGTATTTCCTCTGCAAGAGCAGTGTCAAAAGAAAGCCAGATAAAAAAGAGGCCCAGAGCCTTATAATATCAAAATGTCCAGTTTTCAATAAAAAATCACTAATCACACAAAAACCTGGAAGATCTCAAACTGAACGAAAATCAGTAACTGCCAACACCAATGGCACAAAGATGTTAGAATTATCTGACAAACATTTTAAAGCAGCCATGATAAAATTTATAATTATGCATTTTTAAAAAAATGTAAAATAGAAAATTTCATCAAAGAAATAGAAAGTCTTACCAAAGAAAATATAAAGAACCAAATGGAAATTTTATAACTGAAAATACAGTAACCAAAATTAAAAACAGAGAGGTTCACTAGCTAACTGAATCCAACAGTATATTAAAGGGATTTTTCACCACAATCAAATGGGATTTATTCCTGGGCTACAGGGTGATTCAATATCCACAAAACAATCAACATGATATATCACATTAATAAAAGAAAGGATAAGAATCATATGATCCTCTCAATAGATGCAGAAAGCATTTGACAAAATACAGCATCCTTTCTTGATAAAAGGCCTCAAGAAAGAAGGGATAGAAAGAACATACGTCCACATCATAAAGGCCATATACAAAAGACCCACAGCAAAGATCCTCAATAGGGAAAAACTGAGAGCTTTTCCCTTACTGTCAGGAACATGACAGGGATGCTCACTCTTACCATTATTGTTCAACACAGTACTGAAGTCCTAGCCTCAGCAATCAGACAACAAAAAGAAATAAAAGGCATCCAAGTCAGCAAGGAAGAAGTCTTTCTTCCCAGATGACCTGATACTTTATATAGAAAACCCAAAGACTCCACCCCAAAACTGCTACAATACATGAATTCAGCAAAGTTGCACAATATAAAATCAATGTACAGAAATTTGTCGCATTTCTATTCACCAATAATGAAGCAGCAGAAAGAGAAATGAAGGAATCAATTCCATTTACAACTGCACCCAAAACCATGAGATACCTAGGAATAAACCTAACCAAAGAGATAACAGATCTGTAATCTGAAAACTATAGAACACTGGTGAAAGAAACTGAAGTCAACACAAACATTCCATGCTCATGGATTGGAAGAATATTGTTAAAATGTCTATACTACTCAAAGCAATCTACACATTCACAATGCAATCCCTATCAAAATAACACCAGTATTTTTCATGGGCCTAGAAAAAGAATTCAAAAATTTGTATGGAACCAGAAAGGACCCCGAATAGCCAAAACAATCCTGAAAAAGAAAACCAAAGTGGGAAGCATCACAGTCCCAGACTTCAAGCTGTATTACAAAGCTGTAATCATCAGGACAGTATGGTACTGGCACAGAAACAGACACATCGAATAAAGAAACAGGATAAAGAACCCAGATTTGGACCCACAACTATATGGTCAACTAATCTTCAACAATACAGGAAAGAATATCCAATAGAAAAAAGACAGTCTCTTCAACAAATGGTGTTGAGAAAACTGGACAGCCACACGCAGAAGAATGAAACGGGACTACTTTTTTTTTTTTTTTTAAAGATTTTATTTATTTATTTGACAGAGAGAGACACAGCGAGAGAGCGAACACAAGCAGGGGGAGTGGGAGAGGGAGAAGCAGGCCTCCTGCGGAGCAGGGAGCCCGATGCGGGGCTCAATCCCAGGAACCTGGGATCATGACCCGAGCTGAAGGCAGACACTTAACGACTGAGCCACCCAGGTGCCCCGAAACTGGACTACTTTCTTATACCATAAGCAAAAATAAATTCAAAATGGATGAAAAACCTAAATGTGAGACAGGAAGCCATCAAAATCCTAGAGGAGAACATAGGCAGCAACCTTTCTGACCTTAGCCCCAACAACTTATTACTAGACACATCGCTGGAGACAAGGGAGACAAAAGCAAAAATGAACTAGGACTTCATCAAAATAAAAAGCTTCTGCACAGCAAAGGAAACAGCTAACAAAACTAAAAGGCAGCCTACAGACTGGGAGAAGATATTTGCAAATGATGTACTTGATAAAAGGATAGTATCCAGAATCTATAAAGAACTCATCAAAATCAACCCCCCAAAAATAAATAATCCAGTTAAGAAATAGGCAGAAGATATGAACAGACATTTCTCCAAAGAAGACATACAAATGGCCAACAGACACATGAAAAAATGCTTAACATCACTCATCATCAGGGAACTGCAAATCAAAACCACAATGAGATACC